CAGTCAGTTAAACAGCGTCGTCACGGACTCATCTCTGGTCGAGTCAATCGGTCCTCTTTATGTCAGGCATCATTTAGAGATTTACCGATTGTCAAAATTAGAAGATTGATTTCGATGTTGCGCCGAACTTTATATTTTCGATTACGAGTTACTGAAGAAGACCCGAAAAAGGGTCGAAACGTTTATATTGAATAGAAATTGAAGAACTATACTGTGAGAACCGTGGTCTGTTCATTTTGTGGCTCACATTGGCATTCTTTCCTTCCTTTATAATTTTCTTTTCGGGAGCCTTCACAACAATTCGGAATATGTTTCTAGTTACTTTGGGATTAAGTTTATGTTCGGGGTGTTTTGTGCCACATCAGGTTCCCTTGGCATCAGAAATTACTCTAAAGACAACTGTTCTTTTCTTCTGTGATTACGCGACCTGCCTACCAAAGGGTTGGGATTCTTTTCGTTTTCCTCTCTATTCTGTATCCTCTCTACACTGATAAAAAATATCTTAATAAAAAAAAATATTACTTTACTCAAGGAAATGATTCATTAGGTGGCTTCTAATAGCTTGTTAACTTAAATTAAAAGGCTAATAGAACGAGCTACTAAAAGGTTATATTAATAATTATTGTGTGTTCACCAAAAGTCTAACGTAGATTAACATCAATTCCGTAATATACAAAAATTAGATAAAAGCTAAAATAAAATGTTTTCTAAGATGTAATTTGTACAGCATAGAAAAGTGGATTTCTCATTTAACAAAAACAATTTACTTCATTTAATAAAAGTATTCTATTATCTCATGAAATTTTTATTTCAATATAGAAACTGTAATGATTTAAGTTAATTTACTTAATATAATATAATACATAGATTTACTTGAGATTTGATATTTTTATTTAAAGAAAATAGATATTTACTTCAGTAAAAAAATAAGTTTAAGTAAATCTACTTAGTTTGAAACAAATTTTTCATCAGTGTATTCTCTCTATAATGTCTAGTGACATTCTGGTAACCATGCAGAGAAAGTTTCCCCTTGCTACTTTGTATTTGTTCGGTATTATTATTGGTTTCCAAACAAATAATGTATACGATATAGCGGTTGGATATACCATTTCCCAGGGATGACAAGATTTAACATTGCCGTGGCCCACGAGAGTTGCCTCCGGCTCTCAGAGTATCGCCTAGCAACTGACTCAGTACGCGTATCTACCGAACCGCCCACGTAGCTTGAGAATCTTTTCGCGACCGCCACCGAAAAATCTCCATCCGAACAGTGTCACCGCCTAGATGTTCGGATCGAGGCATCGAAGAAAGTTCGAGAGATCTCGCGCGTACGCCGGGGCGCACGCGAGATCTCGCCCACGCCGGGGCGCCATAAAAGTTGAGTTCGAATCTGCCCTCCTCAACCGCCTCCACCATCGCACCACCGCCGGCTTCACCACCGGTACATTCCCTCTCCCCCTCCTTTTACCCTACGCTGCCCGACACTGCTCATTTCTTCTACTTCTTCTTCTTCGTCTTCATCTCCTCCTCCTCCTCCTCCTCCTCCTCCACCACCTCCACCTCTTCTTTCTTCTCCTCATCGCCGTCCACCCGCGATCTTTGCCTTCTCATTCCTCTTCTCCGACTTCTCGTCTCGCCTCCGCTCGAGGGGAGAAAGAGGGGGGGGGGAGGGAGGCTATGCGAAGTCCCTCCGCGCGGAGGGACCCGTCGCGACAAGCCGCGTCGAGGAGGTCCAAGAATGCACGGACATCACGGCATGGAAGGCGGTTGGCTGCGAGCCCCGCGAAGGGGAAGCCTCTCGAGAGAGCCGGGTTTCCTCGACGGAGAGCGGAGACGGTGGACCTGTGTCGAGGGGCAGGCGGGAGGGAGCCTTCACGGGGCCTCGAGGGCCACTCCGCGACCCGCCGGGAGGACGAGGAGAGACGGTGGAACGGCGGGGGCCCGAAGTAGGGGCCGGGAAGTGACCGGATGGCCTTGGTCCCCAGACTTGGTTAGTTACCGCGCGGCCGACTATACTGGCCACAGGGCGGTATCTCCGATTTCGACCGCTTTTTAAGACGACCGGACCAGGACCCGGCCGGCCAGCCGGCAGAAAAGGAGGGGAGGGGGGCCGCCGGGGTCCGACAGGGGCAGTCCGAAGGGGCGACGAATGCGCGAGACGCGCGCACGCATCGCTCGAGAAGGCCGAGAGAAACGAAGCGGCTTGAAGAAACGACTTGCGATTTTGCGAAAATTCTTCTCGTTGCTTACGTGCGTGAGGAAAACGTATCGAGGAATAGAATCGACACTCCGCAATCTTTTCCTGCAGGGACCAATTATTAATTTTGAGTTGTTATACAAACGAGAATAGATTTGATAGATTTTGTGCCTATTCGAGACGCGTCGCGCGAGAGTAATTGTATTGAAGCGCCTTGTAAAGGAGGAGTAACCAGACTACTTGCGACTTAATTGTATTACGCGCATTGTTGCCCGAAACGAACGAGTCCCTCTCGAACGGACTTACAGCTCACGTTTGCGGGGCACGGCGCAAAAACCGATTTAACAGCTTAATCGCAATTAACCGAGGAGGATCGGCATGCTTCTCACGCGTGGTATTCCATTATTCGAGCGCGAGCGGAGCGCGCGAGAATCGCGCGGTATTCCACGCGCGATCGTCCACTCGGAGCAGCTCCGTGGTGTGTGACCTATGGAAATCGGCAGGTCACTGTCACGTAAATCGCGCGTCCGAGACGGACGGTTTGCCGGGCACGGAAATGATGGGGATTCGAAACGCAACGCGTTACACGGCGTACCTCGGCTCGCGGCTCGATCTCGCGGAGGACGGTGGACGCCTACGTCTCGTCGTGTATAAATTAACGCAGTCGTGAAATCGCACTCGCGCGAGTCTACCCCTGTCCTTCCCGCTCCCCCGCGTCGCCGGGAGGGACTCCTGTCTGGGGCAAGAATGAATAGCCCGGTTACTTGCTCACCATCGCTCATTATTGTTCAACAGGGGCAATCCTGTGTGTGAGAGCGCGAGAAGGTATATCTGCAGCGCGTACAAAGCGATATACAGGGTGTCCCAAAGGTCGCGCGCCTTCGCAGGAACCGCAGGTGGTCGAAGACGGACTGCAAGTGGAACAATGGCTCTCTCTCTCTCTTTCTCTCTCTCAAGGTCGAGGACCGGAGGAACGTCGATGGAAAACGAGATTCTATAGTTGTTTCCTCCCCAGGAAGGGATCAGGGAAATCGATTAGGCGGCGTTGTGGAAAAACGTGACTTTTGACACGCCCGATACATCGGTGCCGCGGCCGAACATCTATCGGGCTAATAATTACCTCGGTGAGTCTGTGAAAGTCTCATCCGCGGTATTTCGCGAAGGATCCCTGGTTGCGATTTCGTCTATCGTTGTGCGGATGAGACGTCGGTAGGAAACCATTGAGAAATTCGTCGCTGTCACGGCACGGATTTGCGTTGTTTTATCCAACTTCCGTGTGTCCCTAATGCCTATTTCTACTAATTATTCCCTGTTTAACTAAGTTTTTATCTTTTTCCAATTACCGAGACTAGAAAAAGATAAAAAGTGCGTTAAACCGAGACCAAAGCTAATCTGCATCGGTAGAAATGGGCATAAAGCCCGTATCAGATAGTTAAGTTAACCGACGATTAAAATTTGCAGGGTGTCAACAGACAATAGAGCGGAAGGATCGCTGAATATGTATCCATTAGAGAATCTGTTGGCCTACCTGTAAATTTTAACAATTGGTTACTCTAAACCAAGTTGATGAAAGAGGCCTTAAGCGACAATCCCGCCGAATAAGTCACTGGAATCTGTCGGCTTGCTTAGAACATGTATACCTGGAAGGGCCGTTGCCGATTGCATTGTGCCCCAACATATATGGGTGGCTCGAGCCTTGAATTTATTCTACAGAAAAGTTGCAAGTTGATTGGCTTTTAACCAGTCGACTCTTAATTTTTCTGTGAGAGCAGAATTTTCGAACTCGTTCGAGAATCGAACCCTGTCCGTGTCTGTCCGTTTCAGCAGCATGCGTCGACTCCATACATTGGCCGCGTTCAGCAGAAAAAGTTGCTTTGCAACAGTTGTAAAATTGGTAAATTTGATCGGAGTATGCTCTTAGAGTCTGCCATAATTACGAGCATACGTCAATTAGATTCAGGATTTTTACAACAGTTGCAAAACAGTCTTTTCTGCTAAACGCGGCCATTATGCTAGTATTGTTCACAGTACTGTATATGTTGCCTGTCGAATATCGCGCGAGCGTGCAGATTTCGAACAGACAAGGATAGATAATTGGCGGAGACACTTGTTCTATGTTGTTACAAATAATTGGCCATGGCCCTTTCAGGTATACACGTACGCTCGAAGCTTGCGCATCGTCGACGCGCATCAAGAGTACCTTGCGGGATCAACTCTGCTTGGGCAAGCGGATACTTTTTCCACGAGTCCGCAATCAACGGGCAACTAATGATGGAGGATATTAACTCTGTCACGTATGCGGCCCATAGGCGCGTCGCCGGGATCGCATTTGCGGATCCACGGATGAATTTATGCAGAGTACCTCGATTCTCGATTTACCTCGCGCCACGGCGATAAATTAAACGTGGCGCGGGATGTCGCGGGTCAAGAAACTGTTATGGGCTCCGACGCGTTTATTCTCGCGATGCGTTATTATTTCGGCGTTACTGTTTCTTTTCCGCGTTTGTGCGTACTCTTCATCTCTCCTCTGCTCTACGACTATGGCCGTAAACTCGACGTATTGAAAGGCTCGGCTAAAGAGCCGGCAATCTTCATTAAAGTAGAGTAAAAATGAGCAAATGGGCATTAATTACATCGCATGAGGCGCGAACTGAAATGAAACGGAAGAGAGAGATAATTTTCGAGCTCATAATTCCTCAGGTATTTGTTAACCCTCCGTTGCGCAGCGTAATTTTCAAATCACCCGCCACTTTTCTCTTTTTACTTGACTTTTTTTACACTTCATTTATCGAGTATAACTTTGAAGCTGCGATATAGAGGCTTCTCCGCTTATATAATTAGTCCACAGGGAAATATGGATTTATTTGGTCTCTCTTCTGTACTTTCTTCTACACCTCTTGATCAAGTTGACAAATATAATTTAGAGGATTAATCCTACCTTATTAATAAGATTCGGTTGTTGGCAATTAAACGTGTATATACGTTTAATGTTACATTACATACGTATCATTGTGCGTAACTTGTGATGAATGTGCAATTCACATTCTTATGTGGAATGTCGCCATGAAATCGGAGGATCTGGCGACAACGTGCTCAAACTCGAGATAGGACAGAGCCCCGTCGCCGTCTATGTCGCTCTCCTCCAGAACTTTTCGACACACGGTAGCCACCTCTTCGGCACTTAGCCCACCTCGAGTCAGCTGCCGACAGGTGCGCTCCAAATCGCCCAGACCCAGCACCCCGTCCTCGTCGAAATCTGTTCGCGGAAGATTACAAATTGATAGATGCGACGCAACAACGACCGTCGGAGAGGTATCATCCTTGCGAGGCTCAACGGAGTCAGCTCGCGCGATGATTCTTCTCCGCTCTTTCACTTACACCTAATCATAAAATATTTATGAGAGTCGGAAGCAACGGAGACAAAAACGCGTAATCCACGGGGAAAGGAAAACACCCCGCTCGGCACGGAGGGTGTAATTATGACGTTGCGCCGCGGTAAAATCGATCGGTTGTTCCGTGCAAATATTCTCGTGCATCGTGGATGTCGTGTCTGGACGCCGTATGTACTCCTCATCCCATGGAACAACTATAGGTACAGCGAGGTCGACCTCCAGGCTCTCTCACGGTCCGCCCGCCCGCCCGCCCGTCCGTCCGTCCGTCCGTCCGTTGTCCGTCCGCCCGTCCACCCGTCCGTCTGTCCGCTCGTCTGGGTTCACCTGGTGGTCCGTACCGTAAATTTTGAAGGCGTAAAAGACTTTCAAATCCCGCGGTGCTTGTTCAGAGAACACGGACAACATCTCGAGAAATTCCTCGAAACAGATTCCTTCGGAGAGGGACGTTGATTGTCCTGAGTCCTGACGTTGCGTAAAAACTTCCGAGATCCGTTCTCTAAATGGATTCTCCTAAAAAGAAAGAAATGCCTCCTTAGTAAAAATTCGAGAAAATGGAAAAAATACCTATATATTAATTTATTTTAGTTCACACTCACACGAAGATCAGTTTAAGTATTGTTATTTAATATTCGTCAAGATAAAATTTAAGTTTAAAAAAAGTCTACGATCTCTAGTATAATATGTTTATCTACACCGAGCAGGATTTACGTGAGATATACAGTCCCCGACAATTTTCCACCCAGACTTTCCTCATAAAATCTAAACCATTCAATATTTATTAAAACTCTTTATTTGTTATTCAAAGTATTCCCCTTCCGCATCTATACGCTTTTGACAGTGACTCAAATGAGTGGTACATGTCTTCGACCGGAAGGCGATCAGCATTGCTTTGATTTTTTATGGTGTGTGACATGTTTTTTGGACTTCCAGGTGGCACTTTGGCGCTTTGTTTCGGGATCTTATTGGAAGCAGCATGTCTCGTCTACAGTTATTATAGATTTTGTCAAGTTGTGGTTGTTTGCAGTAAAGTTAATCTTTTCTCTTGAATGGATGACTCCATTATAATTTTCCGATACAATTTTTTTTGGCCTGTCATGTGAAATGTCATAACTCCAGCCATCTTACATGGCACAGCGTTCAAACTTGGCTTGACGTATAGAAGACATTCCCACCTTTCTAACGATATACATATAGTTCCGACAAATAGTGCTACGCGTTTAGGCGGGTGATTTAACGTCTGGGTGGAAAATTGCCGTGTGTATACACTATAATAACAGCGTAAAAATATTCTTACAGATTAATTTTTTTATATAATAAAATATAAAATAATTAAAGTTACACAAATATAATGCTTAAAATATTCATACATACATAATTTAAAGTCAACTAATTGAACATAATTACAACTGATAAATTATACACTTGGAATAATTATATGGAAATATGACGTATCTTTGTGAAGAATAGAGACGTATGTAAATAAAATATTTACAACACACACATACACACACACGCACATATAATATAAAGCTTATATCAAATTTTTATTGCGTTTAAAATTATTTTAGTAAATAGACCTTTAATTCGGGAATACGAGCTAGACACGACAGGGGCAAACGAAGAGACGATGCCTCTTGCGGCGTCATGGTATGAGGTATCATTCCAGGATCTCCTGTTTCTCGAAATCTTTTAAATATTCTAGAAAAAAAATGGAAAAGTTTCAAATAAAACGAGGACAAAATAAAACAATACAGAGATATTTACTACCTCAAGATTTCTTTGCGTGTAAAAAAGGTGCAATCCTGATAGTCTTCAAGTTGTTCCTCGGTGAACGTCGCCACTTTATTTCCCATCGTTCTTTTATTAATTCCTCCTTTTATATGTTGCTATAAATGCTGGATTTTAGAATAATATTAACTATCATTTAAAAGATAATTCCTTAATTTTTTCGTAGAAAAAATAGACCAAGAAAATTAATTTGAATAGAAATGGAAGAACTGTTTAAACCGTATTAAAAAAAAAGACTGTTTCGTTTGCGGACGAACAGCGAGAACTGAGTTTCCACATCCCTGATGTTCGATACGAAATCGCGCAATCTAATAACCAGGGTGTGTCTCGCCACTCCCACCATCAGGGACGTTTCAATCGTAAATTTACGAGCAACAATGACCTACTTATATACTTTGTTCTTAATTGCACGACAATAATTCTTTTAATTTAAATATGCGAGTTCTCTGATAGTAATACTCTATAATCAGACATTTTCTATTTATGAAAAAATTATACAGTCGGTAAATGCAAATTATTTATTAATTGTAAGACTGAAACTATAAAGAATTAATTTATTGTAAGACTGAAACTATAAAGAATTAATTAGATTAATTGTATTTATATAAATGTACAGTTATTTGAATCTTAATCCTATAGATTACACCTATAAGCGTTTTTGTAAGTCTATTACGAAAGTTTTTACTGTACAAGATATCGCAAATATAATCACAAATTGCGATAAATATCAGAATGATTGAAATTATAAACAATGTGTTTACACAGCCCAGTCATTCTTTAGATATAATAATCCTTATACGCTTCTTTACAATCAGTTAAATTATGAATACATTCCGTAAATTCGTCTTCCTCGAGTCCGGAATCCGTAAAGGCATGGAGTTTCTTGATACTTCTTATCCTTTTGGTTTGCTTAAGTAAAGATTCGTACATTAGCGCGACATTATCCCCACTGTGCAATCCAGCCATCACCGCAACAGAGTTTACATCTGAAAGAGAAAGCGAATGCTGTTATTTGTCATTATTTAATTTGTCTTTCGCATCTAATATGAGAACAACTTACTGGTTTCTACGGGCCAGCCGGCGATATTTCCATCCGTGGTTACATTATTATTAAAGATCTTTGGATACGGTACAGAAATTTTCAGTGGTGCTTCAATGTTGGATAAGTACGTAGCCGACGCGTGACATGTACACGCCAGATAAAGCGTCATCATTTCGTGTACGCTGGAGCATCTGTATGCCGGTTTGGATCTTTGTTTGCTGGCTTCGTCAATGGGTCGCTTTATTCTGTCTTCGGGAATTCCCCGTAACGCTATACTTTGCATATTATTATTCATCGGTATGTTGCAGCTTGGCGTCAGGCTTGTCCATAGAGATCCTTCGAATTCATCCAGTATGTCTATTAAATCCATCTTCATCTTCATAGGAAACGGCAGGCTTAGACTAGTCGCCGCGGCTTTGCGACCCAACTTGTTCAGATCGGCACACAAATCGGACAAGCTGGCGCCCTGATAACTCTTTGTTCTGTATCTCAAGCTCAATGTGTCTAACGCGGTCGCTAATATCGCGCTGCTGTGGTATTTCAGTTCCGGACTGTACGTTATGTTTTCAAATTTACGAGAATCGGCGGCGAATGGCCAGCCGACTTGTCCGCAGGAAAGTGGACTGTAAAGCGACGAATGCTCTCCGATATGTTGCCAGCATAAAGCCGTGTTGACAACTTTAACCAAATCCGACGCACTGGGCTCAGCATTGTTAAAGTCAAGGCATGGAAATGCCAAGATACTCTTGCCGTACTCATCGCGTAGATGCTCAACGCAAGACGCTCCAAGACCAGCGAAGCCATCAGTAGAATCCATGAGTACCTTTTGTTTTTTTATTTCACATTAGCAATATGACATAGTGATTTTAATAAGTAATAAAGAGATTAGGTGTAACATAATGTACAAAGTTTCTACCTGAAATCCTTGCATTAAATCACACTCCTCTACGTATGATCGTATCCTGTCTGCAAAATTGTCGGAGAATTGTTCCGTAGCCCATAAATCGCGACCATACGTGAATATATTGAACGGCCGCTGCGTACAATTGTGCGAATACTGCTTGATAACTGTTACTGTTCTTGGGTGGAATTGCGGTAGAAGATAGTCGACCCATGACTTTACGTCACTTTCAAAATTGTAGATTTTCGAATCTGTACTTTTATCCAGCTTGTTCAAATCCTGAATGAAAGGTGTTTTAGGACTAGACTCGGCGCTAGTAATCTCCAACTTTGTATCGTCCCATAGCAGCTGATTATCTGAAGGCTCCGGGTCATATAAAGATCCCTGCTCGTTCAGGTAACCTAGTGTTCCTTTTAAATCTACCAGTAACAATCTCGGGGTGAACGTAACTTGCTTCTGAAACACAACAGTTGAGTATAAAAAGTATAGGGCGAGCGAACCTACTTATTTCGAAACACTTGAATATTTCTTGTGCCAGCTGTCACAGTCTAAACCTTAATGTCCAAATTTTGATGTCGATGAAAGAGCGTCACAAATAAATCTCGTAATGTAAAGAAGAAAGCAGCAGATATAGAAAACAATTGAGAAAAATTTAAGTGTTTCCAAGTAAGTTAGTTTATCCTAACACTGTAAAAAGAGATATAAATTTTGATCATACATTAATTTAAATATAATCCTGACATCTTGCAGTCTCGAAAAAAATTGCCATACGAACAAATCTCTTAGACAGCTGCAACAGTCTTCATTCTCACAGTTACACTTACTTGCATGTTTTCACCTTCTTTGTACAATACATCATGATTTATCTCGGATGGATTTTTCGGATTGTATGTGAAGTTAGACTCCTACAACAAACAAGATTATCTTATGATAAGCTTAATCTACAATGTGCTCTCTGCATCTAGAAACATTCTGTTTTATATGAACAAATCAAAACGCTTGAAAAACAATATATGGCTGTACAATGTATAATAGACAACTTGTGTACTTGCACAAATTTTTCTACGTATTTATCTACTACAAAATAGAATGTTTTCAGACGTAAAGAACAGAATGTAGATGAGGCATTAGACACATGAAACACGTCCAAAGTTATCAACGTAAATATTGATACCTGTAGATTCCACCAATGCGCGCCGATAAAATTGGAATAGTGGCCCAACTGAATGGTCAAAATCTCTCGTGTTGACATGTTTGTCAAATTTATGCTCTTTTCAGAACGATATATGACACTCGACCAAGTGTCAAAGGATTCTTTGTCAGTCTGCTCCACTCTTGGAACGTGCAAGTTAAAAATGCCTCTAATTTATTCTATTCGTGTATAATTATATATGGCATACAAAACTATCGTATTTCTTGCTCCTTCGACTGTGGCTTTGACTGTAAACTCGTATAGATGGATAACTTGTCTCTAAGGGAAACCAAAGCAGGGGGTCCAAACCACGGAGTCCGAAATTCCCTCTCACGAACATACAATTTTAGCGCCGTCTGGCGATAAATCTCGGGTTCGATCGTGAATCTTTTCGGCACAAAAAAAAGAAAAATTAAAACTGCCGTTTTATAAAGAATCGAGGTTACCTAACCTCGATCAATTATAAAGTGAAAGCATGGAGCGTAACCTGCGTATTATACAAGTCGTAGTCGTAAGAATAGTCGACTATGATTGGTCAATTCTTGTGTGCCTGACTGAATTGACCAATTACAGTCGATTATTCTTACGACTACGACTCTGCGACTCGCATTGTAGACAGAACCGAGAATCATTGTAGCGGAGGCTTAAGGCTCGTTTACAGTCAATTCTTATACTCTTGAAATATTTCGTAGCCGGTAAAATGATCTGTACTTGCGTGAATCCGCGAACGTGTACGCGAATATCCGTGTATGTGACACACGTAAACGTGATTTAGAGAATTATATATGTGACAAAGTCTGGATAAAACTTGGAACGCTGGAATTATGTTCATCAAATTTTCATAAATATTTGCATACGTATCACACACACACACACACACGGATACGTCACATACACAGGTACACGGAAGGTATCTTAAATTCGTGCGCACGGATTAACGTGTACCCGTGAATCTTGAAAACACGTATCCAATTAATCAAGGGCTCTAAAATAAGCGCGCACTTAAATTCACACGTCTGTTGGAAAAAACAATCAACGAACTCGCGGCTCTCCTTTATTCAAGTAATTCTCTTTCCGTATCGCCAAGTGCACACTACAAGAAACGAAGAAGACGTCAATGACAGGATCGCGTACGTAATTCCATTCTGGCTCGAGCCGCCGCGCGCCGCAGTGACGTCACAGCTCGGGCCGCCGCGCGCCGGCAGTGACGTCGCAGCTCGAGCCGCCGCGCGCCGCAGTGACGTCACAGCTCTCGAGCCGCCGCGCGCCGCAGCGATCGTCACTTGTTTGTCTCGAGCCGCCGAGACCGCTACTACGCTCCGAGGTCAAGGAACTTTCCGTGCGCCGCAATATCGTTCGGGCCGCCGCGCCGGTAAGTACGATACGGAGTGATGTGCGCGATTATTCCCTGCGAAGTTAATCGACGCCACGACGAGCGTGCACTTGGTGGGAAGCGGATACGTCGGATCGCCGCCTACCGTTCGCGCTCGCTCTTCCTTCTGTGTAATTTGAATACAGCAGAGCCGCGAGTGTGTCGATTGTTGATCGGTAAAAGACATGTGAGTTTACGCGCTCGTTTGAGATACACCGCGCGAGTGATATTACAGTGGATATTGAGATCGCGTCGCCGACTCGACTCGCATAGTATCGCGCAGTAGCGGTGGGGGGCTGCCGGTTAACGGCGCCATGTTGGCCTGTTCGAGAAGCATCGCCAAGTGCCGCGGACGCGCAACGGACCGGTCCCCTTTGTCGACGGTCGTCGCGACGCTCTTCGCGACGGTGGTGAGTTATATCGCTTAAGTTGAGCGATCGCGGCGTAGACTATTCCAATACTCACGCGTCGGCGATCCACCGAGACGCGTAAATCTCGTGGGAAAAACGGCCGTGATCTTCCTCGCGGCGCCGCGCCGCGCCGCGCCGCGGGTGTACAGAGCTCTCGACTCTCGTTTAGAAGCACCCGAGTTTTCCGCGCGTAACGCGCGGCGAGTGAAATGTTGGCGCGAGATCGCCCCGTTGAACGCTCGCGTGCGGTTTGCGAGACGCGTCGAGCCTCGCGCATCTCCCGAGTTCCCGCCGTTTCGTGCGACGCCATCGCGGCGGCTTGTGTGCCCGCGCGCGAGTGTATCTTTTTTTCGTTGTAACGGAAATCGCGTCGTGCCGCTGGTGTGCAGAGCTCTCGACTCTCGTTTAGAAGCACCCGAGTTTTCCGCGCGTAACGCGCGGCGAGTGAAATGTTGACGCGAGATCGCCCCGTTGAACGCTCGCGTGCGGTTTGCGAGACGCGTCGAGCCTCGCGTATCTCCCGAGTTGCCGCAGTTTCGAGTGTATCTTTTTTTCGTTCTTCGTTGTAACGGAAATCGCGTCGGTTAACGCCGGGAGTGCAGTGTCGCGAGTGCCGCGTTGTGCCGAGTGTCAGGACAAAATCCGCGAGGAATCTGAGAGGAAGTGGCGGTCCTGGAGGCATCGGGCAACGGCGGAGCAACCCTCTCGTGAGTACAATTATTTATGCATTATTCCTGCGTTAACTTGATCCCGCCAATTGCTTTTATCTTTCCGTCTCTTCGACTCGGCCGTTGCAGCGATTCGCACGAGCATTCGTCACATGTTGTTTACGGAAAAGGTTCGCGTAAATAACGTACAGAAACGGTCCACGTAGATCTAAATAAATAAATTTCTACTATTATTGTACATATCTCGGGCGAAATCTTGCTAACATTATTTTAATATGAATTCTCTGTTTGTGTGTTACAGGTCAACACAACGTAAATAACTCCGCCGCTGCGCATCAGGCCGGTGAGTAACAAGTTTTTTTTTTACCAAGGTAACGAATCTACGCCTTGTAGATGGTAGAACGTAGACTGTAGAATGTAGATGATGAAACAGTAGATCAATTCTGTAGATTCGTTATCTGAAAATGGATGGATCACAATATCATTTCTTATTCTGTTTGATATATTTAGTCTGAACGATTTATTGACGTATTCATGCAACTAATCACTGACGACCTATCCATTTTCAACATATTGATATGTAAAATAAAAAATTGACGTGAGATTCTAAATATTTTGTCAAAAACTCTGAAAAACTTTAAATTACTATTGTACGTTATTGGTGATTATTCATTACGTACACTGATAAAAAATATCTTAATCTAAAAAGTATTACTTATTTAAGAAATTATTCATTAGGTGGCTCCTAATAGCTTATTAACTTAAATTAAAACGTACATTTCTTTAATTTAAGTATTTATTAAATATCAAACAGTAGATAATTTTATATTAACAAAATTTAAGATACAAGTTTTACAGCGAAGAAAATTAGATTTCATTTATTAAATACTGTAGTATTTTCTATCTCATGAAATCTTTAGTTAAATGCAGAAAATGTAATGATTTATATTAATTTACTTAATGTGATACACAGATTTACTTGACATTTGCTATTTTTACTTAAATAAAATAAATATTTATTTCAGTAAAAAAATAATTTCAAGTAAATCTGTTTATTCAGTTTAAAAACTTTTTGTCAGTGTATAATATATTTCAATTACGATAAGTAATATAAAACAATTACAATATCAGTATCAATCATGCATGAATCTCACGTCATTTATTCTGTATATGTATCTCGGTGTACACCTTCAAGATGCGTCTTGCATGAATAACATGCATACGCAAACGCATCTTCATACATTCGCGATCGGTTTTCGCGTTCGCGTTTCGCGATCGGATTTTAAAAACATTTTCAAAATATTAGTACTTTTTTAATTTCGTTCATATTAGAAATACGGATAAATTAACGCGGAATATAATTAAAATTAGTATAACGCGAATTGAAATGTTTTTTGTATAGACTATAATTTTGAGGTAAAAGATTGAGTCACAAAAAGACAGTCAATACTCGCGAGTAAATAACGGGAGTAGAAATATATTAAATTAGTTTTATACAGTAAATTTTTTCGAATTAAAATTCTTAATTAACTTCTCGTCGTGTATTTTTCGATTAAAAAATTTTTCTTAATTAACTTCTCGTCGTATATCTTTCGATACGATCGTCGCTCGCATGTAATTCAAATCATACGTAATATTTGTTGGTTACGATAACAAACCGACAATGGAAGGAGTTTTCTTCCTTCCTGATCTGGTCAAAATGACGAGACTGTATGGCCAGGAGCATCAAAAAGGTAGTCCAATCTGGCCCGACGAGGGAAAACTGAATACAACGAGCCAATAGTGGTCAATATTGGCCACTCTGATAGAGTATGTAAGTCAGGTGACTTACATACTAATTTTATTTCTTTCATGTGTCAAAATTTCGGGTGGGTTAATTCTTTTTATGTGTCCTCGTATGTGTGCGAGATTGAAAAAACTCTTATTAAATCGCAATCGCGCGCGTATTATAACCCCAAATCGGACCTTTTATAAATCGCGTCGCGGTTTTAATAAAAGACTTTTAGGTCTATTAAAAAGAAAATTAAAATATGGGTAGGTAGGAAAAATGGATAGGACTATACATTAGAATATGCATAGGGTAGGGATTCGGGTAGGCAGACACAGAGGGACATAACTCGATAAGAAGATAGATAAAATTTTAACTGCAACATAATAAGAATGAATATAGTATGTAAGTAAAGTGATAGTAATCACTGATGCCTTCTCATATGAATTTAAACATATGTGAAACACGTATACATTTTCCATGTTTGCAAAATATATAAATGTATTGACATGTGCACAAATTTATGTGGAAAGGCATCAGTGATTCCTAGTGTACACCAGGAATCACTAATAACTTGTCATATGAATTTAAACATATGTGGAACACATGTACATTTTTCGTGTATGTTTATGCAAAATTTGTAAATGTGTTGATATGTGCACAAATTCACGTGGAAAGGTATTAGTGATTCCTATAGTACAAAATAATTTAATATCTTTTATTTGTCAAAATTCGGGTGGGTGATTCTTTTTTATATTTCCTCGCGTGTACGCGAGATTGAAAAGAACCCTATTAAATTCCAATCGCGCGCGCGCGCACTGTAACCTCAAATCAAACCTTTTAAAAATCACGTCGCGACTTTAAGAAGAGACTTAAGTCTATTAAGTTGAAACACGGGTAGGTAGGAAAATGTCTAGGACTATACAGCGGAATACGGATAGGTAGGGTTACAAAAATTATTATTATAACATTGTGAAATATATTATATATAATAATGTAATACTAATAAATATAATTATTGTCATGACTTTTAATCAACAAACTTTACAGTTAATATATTTATCATAAAATGTATTAAATTGTATTGAAATAATTATTAGGAATATTACACCCAGAAAAAGCTTGTTTGAAATGAAACGAATTTAGTTTAATTTTGACCTTACTAGACTTATTTAATTTCAAAGAAATAATTTCTTTACCTTAAGCACAATATATCATATTCATCACTTGCATATTATTGAAATAAATCCACGTGTAGGAGATAATTTTTAGATATATATAATGTTATACATATATTTTATATTATATGTATACAAAAGTTTGAGTACAGAATTAAACTTAAAAATATTTTAAATTCATATATTTACTCTTATTCTAATTACACTTCTGAACAAAGAAACTTTATTAAATATTAGACACTTCGACCAAAAATTTGTCCGACTGCCTCCATCTCTTTGCGAGACATAGGTTCTAACATCAACCCAGGTACCGGTGGTGTCAATTCTATATCACGTAGTTGATTTACTTTTATCTTCAAGTCGCTTCTTAGCTTGTTAATGGCAGTATCACATTCTCTCTGATCTGTAATATAATGTAATCTTGCATTGAAGGATACAACTATATATAATAAAAAAGAATACCGAAATTATAGGATATCAATAAATTTGTTCTTCTACCCCGTTTGTTAAAAATTACCTTTTTCCAATAATTCTTCAGCTGCTTTAGATGGCATTTTTAAAAGTAAGGGTCCGACTGTGATCCATGTTTTTGGATGCACCTGTTTTTGCAATGCTCTCATTCCAACACGATCGTCGTTTCTTCTCTTATCTAGAGCAACTATTTCCCCACGATCAGTGAGAATTTCACCAGCTTTGTTTTCGACCTTTTCTAAATGTTGCAATAATCTCTGATGCTCATTCGCCATCTGTAACACATCAGTAAATTTACACATTATTTCTTATTTACACATGTACCCGAATATATCAAAAGGTTCCTCATTTTTATATTTAGTGGAATAAACTATCTGTATACATTTTTAAAAAATTTTATTGAATTAACATGAGATAAAAAATTGCAGCGATAACATCATTGAGAAATAAAAAATCAGTATTAATATATTTTGTTTAATAATAAAGAAAGATTGAGGATAAACTTACAAGATATATAAGAACAGTAAAAGTTAGTTTCTCATTGCATTGAATTTTTAAATAAATGTAACATTTAAATTGCTAGAATTGTCTATATTTATTTTAAGATAACGCTATACGCAGAGCTCTTTCTTTCCTGGCCTCTCTGTGAAGCAATCTTTCCCTGTCCCTTTTTTTCAGGGGTTTCTGCTTAGGTACTTTAGAGTTGTTAATAGCAGCTGTATCGCTCGATTTAAAATGAGTAATCTTATATTCGCTCTCCGTCAATTGTCCCAACCCTTTGCGATCCACTTTGAAACACGTCTTGATTGGATATTTTATTCCTTTTCCGGAAGGACCGAGACCAGTTTCCTCATCCCATCCTGTATTCAAAAGCATTCTGTATCCTTTACTTTGTCTCGATATTCCATACATTGCATGTTTCAACTTCGGCTTCGTGTTAAAGACGTGCAGAGTGGAACTTTCATGCTTTTGTGGCGTTGTTTCTTGAAAAGTTGCCTTACAGATCTCACAGTAAAACGCTGCACTTTGCTTAAGTCCTGTCTTCTCTTCTACAAGCTCGTCTTTATTGTGCTCCATTGACGATTCTGTAGGCATCGATCTCATTGATAAAGCGTTTATGTTATTTATATTCGGAATACTCGCAGCTAACTGACTAATGCTGCTTATCGAGTCAGACTTCTTTCTCAACAAGGCGACTATGCTCAAGTAATTCTTCTTTAAAGCTAATTGGGCGGCGGTCAGGCCAGACTTATCTCTGGTTCGCTTGTTAGCCCCGAGATTCAACAAGAATTGCACAATTTCCAAGTGACCGCAATAAGCGGCGGACATTAACGGAGTCCAACCGAAGTCATCCGACACATTCACGTTCTCCGCCGTCATGTGTTTCTGCAAGAATTTCAAGTCCTTCTGCTCCACTGCTTTTAACAACGTGTTGGTCGTGACTTTGGCTAGAATGTCGTCCGAGAGCGTAGTCTTCCTCGATTGCACGACAGAGGCGGCATTCGCGCCGGAGCTGCCCTGCCTCGGTCTCGTCGGTGGAGCGCTGCTACCACCGGTCTGGTGAACGATTTTTTCGTAGGCGGCCCTCGCTTCGTTCCCTTGGAATGCCAACTGACGGATGCATCTCTCCGGTGACTTGTCCGGTAGGCTAGGTGATTCCCTGACGAAGGTCTTCCACGGTATATCGATGCTGTGTCGTATGTGCATCCACTGTTGCAAGAACATTTCTCTCGACTTCGCGCTGTCCGATATCACTGGCGCATCTTCTTTTCTCTTGCTCTCTAGTCTAAGTTTATCTAATATTTTTCACAACATCCTGTCTTGCCAGTTGACGGTCGTTTTGTTAGGAATCGTGTGCGTCTGGAACTTGTGCAAGTGACGATGAGCAACACGTTGCTCCGCGCACCTCGTATTTCACCGCGACGAAAGGCCTCGCCACTCGGTAGGGACAACGTGATGTCGCGTCTCGATTATCCGCGAACGCTCGAGATGTTATATTATCGAGGTAATACTTGGACAGCCAAATTTACCTCTGGTTATTTCGCTGCTTACTGCCGCGCGCGATCGCCTCGCTCTCGTCGCGCAACTCACAACAATTCACAGCCAATGGAAACAACCAGTTGAACCAACTTCTTTCCCGTTTGTTCCCTAGGAGCGCGCAGCATGGGGAAATTGAGCTTTTAGATTGCTCGGACAAACTAGAGAGAAGCCTGAGAGCTGCCACGGCCCCGTTTTTCGTGATTGGCAAAAGCACAGATTAATAGCACAGATTAATAGACAGATCGCCAAAGATCCGGGTGAAGACGAGACCACTACACTCTTTGTCTCCTTACCGACAGCGTTGCCCCTAGGAGCGAGTCTGTACTAAATACATATTTAGTACAGACTCGCTCCTAGGGGCAACGCTGTCGGTAAGGAGGCAAAGAGTGTAGTGGTCTCGTCTTCACCCGGGCCTTTGGCGATCTATTAATCTGTGGCGAAATGCCCATTCTACACCTAGGGATGATCCTACTTGTGGCTCATCCGATACTCCCTTCTATACCTAAAGCTAATCCTACTTGCAGCTTATCCGAGGGAGTAGTATAAAGTGTAAAAGGGTACACTGTAGTTGTACTTTGGTACGATTGGAAACCAACCAAAGTGTAAACCTTTTACACTTT